GTTTGACATTTTTAAATTGAATTAAGCCTTAAATGCTTTTCTGAACACAATAATTATCACTAAATAGCTTTAGAATATGAGATAAAAATTTAATGGAGTCCTTAGAAATACGGCAGACAGTTTTAGTAATGTAAAACATCAACAAATGAAGCATGCAATTTACTCTTTAAAGTAGCTAACATTTTTTTTAATTGTAATTGCAAAATTTTTCATCTCTCATGAAAAACATATATTTATATACTATTGTATAATTGAATAAATTATTTAATGTATTTCAAGAAAAAGTTATTGTAAAAAATATAGTTTAATATTAAAATTGTCTATGATTTAAAAATAAAATTTTTCTCGAAATTCTAACTAAGGTGACTCCGAACGTTTGGCAGAAAAGCGCCAAATCCGCCAAGACACAAAATCCGCCAAACAAGAGAGTGGGTCGTGAAACGCCGCTGGATTGGAAAATCGCGGCTTTCGTTGCGTTTCGTTCGCTTTCTCGTCTGATGTTGAAACACAAAAGTGTATAAGCATAAAGTATATAAGCAAAAGTGCATAAGCGAAAGTGTCTAAGCATAGAAAGTGTATAAAATTCTTGTATTAGCAATATGCTCATACATAAATTGAAATTGTGTGGTGATTCGACAATAAATTGGGCAGTATTCTTATGTCCTAAGATACTGAAAATAGTATTGTGCACAATAGTTAACATAAATATTTTCTATTTTATATCAAAATATACTAGACTTACTAGGAAGCATGTAACTTAGATCGTTTCTTTCTACGTATACTGAAAAATCTTAGAAGCCGCAGCTGCTTAGGGTACTATACATTTTTTTTTAGGTGTGCAAAAACTATTAGACTATAAGACTTGAAATATGAAAGTGTGTGAAAAATGTATGGGTGAACAAGAAGAAAAAGAAGTTTTAACATTCGAAATTTAGTTTCAGAATTATGATTTGTTAATCTTGTAGTAAAAGAAAATCATGCAAATTCATACAGCTCTTTTAACAGCAAAAATGTAACTGCATAGTTGATATTTGAAGAACTGAAATGGCCTTTTTTGTCCATAAACTTAACATGATGTGTTTTTTTTTTCTCTTTTTTTTCATTTCTGAAATATACATTGTTGATGAAAAATTTGCTTTTTCCTCTCGAGATCTTTATTTCATAAGCTTCCATTTCAGTTGATGTTAAAAGTAACAAATAAAAGAGAGATCAAGAGAAATTAAATATTACATGATATAAATCTTAACATGCGTATTGATATTTTTAAAAATAAAATAAAAACTTAGAATAATAAGAGATATGAAGACCCTCTCCTATTTTAACTGTTATAAGTCTCGTTAACGAGTAAAATTTCCTGTTTATTTCATCTTATTCAGTCACACAATTTGTACTCCTTAGACAAAAAAAAAATTTCAAGAGCAGACGATTGTTTTTTAAATTCCAGTAATCGGTCATTTTGTTAAGATTTACGTGCTAGCAAAACGATCTTGAAAAAAACTTTTGTTAAGAAAATATTATTTGCTTTTGTGAAAATGTTGTCTTTTAATGAAGAAAAAAAAAGAATGATGAACGCGAAGCAATTACAGGCCCAGTTCGCAGCTGAGAAAAATTGAATTTCGATCGTAAAAGCGCATCTGAAATAAAATAACATCAAACAACAAGTTTGACGTGTTTTTTTCTTTAAATAAATAGATAGTCGCTTTCAATAATAAATAAATAACCTTATTAAATCACGCTTTCTGGAAGGATTTCATAATTTACAAGATTAAAACAACGTTCCTGATTTCTATCTTTATTAAATAACAGATAGTACCACTAACTAGAAGTTATATATCAGATACAGACAATTAAAAAGCTGAGACTTAATCTCTTGCCAAATATTTTCAACCAGTTAACAACTTATGCAATGAATGTTAGAAGCAAATTTAAGTCAGCATTAGACGTAGTAAAACTAATACTTATGCTGTTACCTAATCCCCGTTACTTATAACTGACGAATTGAATGTTAACATCAGTATGGTATTATTCAAAATTAAAATTAGTTTTCATGGTTTAAGATTTTAGTTATTGTTTAATGTGCTATTATTCGATGAACTAAGGGGAAGAATGTTTTATGTGCATGTGTCAGAAAAATGACGGTAGGATCGCTATCTTGTACATTTTGAGGATCATTAAGTTTTCACAAATCAATAACGTGGAAAATCAGTTTTCACCGAGAGTTACTACACAGTGAAATAGGGCAGTGGAAAGGAAAAACAATTCCTCTCCACGCGTAGACAAAAAGAACAAATAAAATTTTAATGAAAAGACTAAAACTAAACTAAACTCAGTGGCGCGACAGCCCAATGAGGGCCAAGGCCTACTGTGCCTATCTCAGTTTTCTTGACCTTGAGCTCTGGGATGCAGGAGTGTTCCGGTTAGGTGGTTAGCCGACCGCGAAACCCCCAGTGTTTAGTTCCCAAGCATGCTTTATCGACCCACTGTCGACCCATGGTCTAATGAAAAGACTAGTGAGAAAATGTTCTTTGGGGAGGAATTTTGAAGAGAAAGCGGCTCGTGTCCAAACCAATTTTTTTAAATTTTGTTATTTCACAACATCAAAAATTATAAATTTTGTTTTGAAATATTTTTTTTTAAATTTCCAATGAGCTGCAGAAGTGCGCACGCATGAGCTGACCTAGTGCTTTCTCCAGAACTGGTATCCACTCTTTCAGGACCACCACAATGGGTGAGATACTGTTGGCAATGTTAATTTGGACACCTAGTTTCTGCCACACTAGATGGCAGCACCGAGACTCTTATTTGGATGCTAAAGTGCACTAGGAATTTTATTTTGCCGGAAATGCCAAGAGCCAATAAGGCACTCCAGGGATCTTTTACATGCCGCATAATCATACGACATGGCCGCTGAGGATTTTCTGCAACCCGAAAATCCGGTGTCTGGACCGGGGATCAAACCCGCAGACTTGGGCTCAGAAGGCCGACGACAAACTAACTGCGCCACCCAGCCACCTGTTTTGAAATATTTAGCAGATATAAAAAAATAATTGTGACATTTGTTTGTATTTTTATTTTTATGATTTAAATCGCATGCTTTCTCTTGAATATTCTCAAATCTTGAAATATTTTTTCACAGAATCAGTTATCATTTTCATAAGCCATTTTCCCTCCTATATCTTCGTTTAGCAGAAGTGCGAAAAATTGAATCTTGATATAGCTTTGGAATTTTAAATAATTATTTTTCATTCGTTATTTTAAATCCATACATTGGCTGAAAGCAGCTTTTCATAGTATTTATTATAAAAGTAAAAATTACCGTTTAATATTTGTAAACAGTAACTAAATATTGTTAATATAAAACGTAATATAAACTTAACGTAACGTTATCGTAAATGTAATACTAATATCATGCATTTACGTGATCAAACATTGAAGGAACAACACTTTTAGTTTTAAGCATTTATTTTGATTAATAATAAAATTAGGAACGTAATATTAACTGAAAATAGTAATAAAAACTTTGTGGTAAATATTACTAGAAAAAACTTCCATGCTGTTGCGTAAGGAATAAATAAATAATTTTTATCAAAATATTGCTATAACTTTTATTTATTTTATGCTGATGCATCAGAAGATATCTAATTTTTCTTTGCTTAACACTAGATTGCCCAAGGAAATCATTTTGACTGCTTTTTAACTGCTTTTTTATTTGCAAAAATCTACAAATAATAATGCATAAATTATTTTTTTTTCCAAGTGATTTTTTTTATTGTTAACATTTACAAATAACTTAATAACTGTAAATAATATAAAAAATCTTAAAAATTAGTTAAACAGATTTCTTTACACATTAGTTATTCCTTCACTATGCAGTCATTTTAACTGCTTTTGGGCAGTAAAGGTATATACTAAGTTTCAGTCTGGTGTTAATAATGATCATATCATGCAATTTTCATGTGCAATAAAAATATGCGAAAACGATAATTACCTTTCCATGATGTAACCAGAAATAAAGAATGCCTAATTTATACTATTGTTAAACTATCTAATAACATCACTGGATTCGAACGCTCTACTTGCGCAAAATTAAAAATAAGCATTAACAGTAGATTGCTTAAGGAAGTCATTTTGACTGCTTTTTAATTTCAATTAGAAAAACAATGATAACAGAATTTCTTAGAATTTTGTGACTTTTTGGACAAAATATAATTTTTTTATTGTTAATATTTACTAATAACTTGTTATATAACTGTAAACAATATATAAAAATTAATATATAAAATTAATTTTAAAAAACGTTTTTAACACATTATTTTTTTTAATTCAGTCATTTTGACTGCTTATGGGCAATTTTATTTTGCTAATTAAGTAACTTTTACTTAATTAACATTTAAAATCGTTTTTAGTTAATTTTGGAACTAGTTATAAATTGGTATTTCACTTTTCTTCTAAAGTTCATCAACTAATACTTTTTAAATTAATGTAATCCACGACCTTATCTTACTCACTGTTTCCATAACGATGGATACTAATACTATACGAATCCTATATTATAAAAAAATTCAAGAAGAGTTGAAATTTAAAATAATGGAGCTCAACTTAGCACTGTAAATCTCGATTGTCTATGAGTGGATTATACGTGGTGAGGATTATTTGTGGTGAAGATTATACACATCCCAGAGTTCTGCAAAGAGATAGATAATTTTATGACACCGGATTCATCATCGATTTTTTTTTTTTAAAAATGTAACTGAGCACATTTATGAAGTATTTATGAACTCATTTTTTTTCTTTTGTTCATACATACTTTCGTATTTTCGTACATACTGCCACTCCTCAACAAAACAAAACACTTTTTTTTTTCAAACACAACGAGTTCAAGCAAATTGCACTTGTAATCTCTTCACGTCTTACAGTCTTTTGAAAATCAATATTTATTCAGTCTTCATCTAAAGATTATAAAATAACTAGAAACAACTTAACGTCAATAAAACGTCACGAACCATAAAATGTTTTATAAGATTTTTGAGAGAAAAAATAATGTTCGTCGAAATAATTTCGCAACAAAATATTTTTCCTCTCTTATAACATGCTAAAAATGTCTCTCAGATTATGCTTACTACCTTTATTGGTATTTAATTTTATTGCAATTGGTAAGTCATTTATAATGCTCTATATGTATTTCATTTTGTAAGCATCTTTACAATCGTTTTATTGCAATTTAAATGTTATATACCATTCAATGTGTTTTATATTTCATAGAATTATCAATGCTACTTTCATAATAAATATTAAAACTGATTTATATCACATAAATAAAACATGCAGCTATAATGTCAGCAAACACGGGAATTCCCCCTAAAGCTTAATCTTGATTTAATAAGATACCGATAGACTTAGAAATGGTGATAGTTACTTAAAAAAATAGGCCCCTCTTTTGTTAGAAAAATAAGCATTATTTTGGCAACTCCTTTCAGAGAGTCAGTTAAATAAATAAAAACTCTGGAAAATGTGTTTCTATCATATAACTAGTGAACCGCAATAGTGCAAAACAAAATGACTGCTATATAGCATTTCTTCAAGACTATCTTTTTGAGTGATGCACAGTGTGCAAAATATAAGACGGACCAGCCAGAATAATTTTTGATCAAATGATCGGATCTTCACGTTCTAGGATTCATTCTTCTTGGTGAGGAGTGGACCTCAAATATGCTAATTAATAAGTACAGACACTATTTCAAATAACGAAATTAGACACAAAGGCGTTCATTCTCTGAATGAATATATCTTATTTTCGACGAATTGGGATTTCTGAAAATATCGTCACAATGCACAGTGGGCCAGCATCTAAGGTTTCTTGGCCAAAATTAGTATTTCGATAAAATTTGCTTCAAAATTTGGGTTTTTTATTTAGGGGTTTTTATGTGCAGGTAAATTGAATTCATAGTTGAAATTTTGAAATGCACTAAAAATACCCAAAAAAAACAAAATGGCGGATGAAATATGGCGAGCAAAAATAAAAATAATAATATAATACGCTTAAATAATTAAATATAGCAATGAAAATATAATAATTTTCGTAATTTTATATTAAAAATGAAAATCAAATTATATTTCATAAGTAATATTACAAAATAACGCGAATTAATTGCGAAATAGCGTGGAAACATGAAAAGGAACAAAATTTTTGCTTTTCGGTTTATTTCGGAACTAGGCTTCGAAAGTCATTCAAGCATTGTAAAATGACAAATGATAAGATATAAACTATAAGTTTGTCAAGAGTATTAACTAATCCAACAAATTGAAAAATTGTACTATAATTTCTGACTAATTACTCTGATAAAAATGTAACAGTAGGGTGAAATTCCGATATATATTTCTGAAATAAAAAATTAAATTTATAAAATATTAATTTATAAAAAGTGCTCCATGTTCCCATAGCAAAACATATCTCTTGGGATACTGATCCAAGAGTTTCCTTGTCTTCTGGATTGGTTCAAAATTACAAGGCTGCGGAGTTGAACATTATTAGTCGAAAACCCAAAATTGGGTCGGCTGTTCAACGACGGTTATAAAATATAAAATAAAATTCAAAAGTTTTTGCACACAATTATAAATTCGTTTCCCTACAGATAATTTCATGCAAAATATAACTTTCTGTAAATATTTAATAATTCTTGTGATTTTATTTAAAACTTCTTGAAAAATGTTTGAATTGTAAGGTATACGAATTTTTACATCATTTTAAAGAGCGTAATTTTACGTGGCAGAATACAAAATTTGAGCGAAATCGGTATAATAGTTTTTGAGAAATCAAATTTTAAAAATACAACTTTTTTCAATATTATATTTCTCAGGATTTATTCGATCGATTTCGTTCAAATTTTATATGTTGCCATGTAAAATTACGTTCTTTAAATTTATGTAAAAATTCGCATACCTTACAATTCAAAATATTTTCGAATATTATTGACTTAAGTATTAAAAAATAATAAATATTTACTCAATGCTATTTTTTGCAATGAATTATATTTGGATAAACGAATTTTAAGATTGTGTACACAAAATTTTTTTAATTCACTTAAATGGATCTAGAGATGTGGCGAAATACGAAAAAATAGAATTAACATTAAGGGGTCCAAACTTTGATCTGCCCTGATGATAAAATTATGGCGACCATATTTCTCAGATTGCGGCTACCCCCTATATTTTGGGGATCAGAAATTCAAATCCATTTAAAAAAAGGTATGTTTATTAAGAAAAAGTGGGGTTTTGGGTCTGATTTCTTAACTTTAAATATCGTCTGCACTAATTAAGTACCTAGTTAATTGATATTTTCAATATTTAAAACCTTCTGGTTTACCTCAAGTTTACCTGAACACACCATTTTCTAAACCTTAAATTTTTAATTACTTTAAATTGGAGGAGAAACAGAATCTATGATGAAAATATTCTCCCGCTATGTAGCTTTTGCTTAAGTTATGATGAAAAACAATTTTTGTGCATATATACTTCAAAAATACAGATATTTTTTCTCATTTTGATGTACCGAGTTTTTCAAAAATAGCACATTTAAAAAAAATTCAAAATTTCTAAACAAAATCATTAGAAATTTGCAGCAAAAAAAAGCAATCAAATGATATAATGCTATTTCTGTAAATAATTTATTTTCTGCAAAAGACTGTAATAATCCTGTAATAATTATTTGCTTTGTAAATAATGTATTATATCAATACTATTTAAATATGAAGTCAGCCGGTAAAAATTTGTACCAGTTACGAGTTCTAAAGGCTTAGAAAACCAACTTTGAAAACTTTTGAAATTTTCAGGGCAAAACCAGTTCTAGAAAGGCCCTGTTCCTTAACGCAAATATTTTTAAAACAATTTTATTCATTTATTCATTTATTTATTTTTTAATTATGCATTTCCTTACTTATTAGAAGTATACGTATTCAACACAGCTTTATTCTATACTTGAAAATCATACTTGTCATCTTTTTATTTTAGTTCAACCGAAAACATATTTTACTGTTCATATTAACAATCGAGTGTTTTTTTAAACCGAAGAAAAATACCCAACAGTCATTAATAATCTTCTTCTAATCACTAATTATTTTTACTTTTACTTTCCCTAATTTATTTAAAAACTTCTATCCTTTTGTATTATACATTTCATATCAAAAAAATTTTGTCAAATTTAGTTTTGAAACTAAAACTTTATTAAATTTTATGGCTAATTCCTTATAAATGATACATTAACATTTATAAAAAAACGTTTTTGTGTATTAAACTGGAAATTTTTAGAAAATAAGAAGAATAAAAATTTATCTTTTTTCTTCATTAAGTTAACAATTTTACTCATTATGCTAATTTAAATGCTACATACGTTTGCAAAGATAGCATAATCAATGAATCTCAAAATTTAGTACAACTTCTAAGCTACTATTTCGAAAAGCAAATTTTAGTATAAGAAATTCATTATTTACGAACAGAAATAAGAAGTACAACGGAACATACACGCTTGGTTGATTAGCAACTTTTTCTTTCAATTCTTATTAGTTAATGTGACAAAATTCTTCATTTCCATCATTTCAAACAATTTTAAATCAGATAATCCTAAACTTTGAGTCATAAAATATCGCAAAATAAGTCTGAAAACTTTTTGGAAACTGCAAAATAATTACTTCAATTTTCATTAAATATTTATTAACATTTGTCACAAGCAATATTTTATTTTAGTTTAACTCTGCTGTTATCATTTAATCCATGATTCTATTATTGGAGATTACTCCGATCATTATTTAGTTTATCAATCATCAATGATATCACTTAGTTTATGAATTCTATCATTATAGATAACTCCTGTTATTATTAAGTTTATAAATTCTATCATTGTAAAGGATTTCTGTTATTTTATAAATATCCCTTCTACTTAAGCATTTGTTTATTTTCCGAAATTTTTTCTTTAAAAAATCTCTTCACTCTCATCTTATTTTACGAAATTTAATAAATAATGTTGATTTGAAGATATATTTTTGATTCAAGAAGACAAGCTGGCCATTGATCTTCTATCGCGATTATAAAAAAAACTGGGAAACCGCGTTTTAAATATAAAACTCAAACAAAGGCATTTGGTAATCTTAATGGTTGTTCAGCAAGTTGTTAATCTCTTAGCGTTATATAATCATTATTTATTTCTAATGAGACCACACAGATGAAAACTTCCTCTATTTGGTGAGCAATTTTTTCCTAGAAATAGCAAAATTTATGTTTTAATGTAAAATTATTCATACAGTAAACTTTTTACTGTGAAATTCCCTATATATATATATATATATATATA